CAAAACCAACTCTCTGAATCTCCTCTTTTGCAGCCGCACAATATTTGTTCGGTCCGTATACTCTGAAGAAAAACTGACATGGCTCTTTCCTTGTTTTGCAGTCGCACACAGTATTGCGCAGTCCGCACTGTGGACCTTTTTGCCTTGTTTTGGTCCTTGTCCACTTTTGACTCCTTTATGAGTTGATTTTGATTTTTTTGGCTCATATTACAATACTCCTGCAAGCAAGCACATTTCATTAGTTTTCGGAAATACCTTTAAGCATTTTGAGCTAAAACGCAAGTAAAAGAGAGAAAATAAGCGGTCAAAAACCCTACTTATCACTAAGCCAAACACTTAGAAAAGTTTGAGAAAATATTTATAACTAATTACGAAAATATAAACTAACCTAGAAAGAAAGTAGAATGATCAATGGCTGCAATCATAGATATTCGGGGAATTACACTCAAGTAACAATCCAATGTATTTCACGATTTTACAAATATGAGCGAGTTTATGTTAATTACCTCAGGTAATAATTCTATATTAGCTTCTTCCGAAGAGTAACAAGACTTCCTAATTGAATTATTCCTAAAACAATTAAGAGATTAAGCACACCCGAATATGGCTACAAGTAGTTCAATCTTATCCCTAGGTAGAATCTATAAAATGAGGGTTAAAACCTCAAGTTCTTGTTAATTAATCTTTTCCAAAATTAATTCGAAGTAAATGGGCAATTCCTAGGGTTAGATAATCCATTTGGAAATATTAATGAACAAGAATAATTAAAGAAATAATAACTTACTTCATAATAAATAAAAATCGTTCAATACATAAGCACAATAAGATATTTAATCCACACTTTAAATAACAATATTTTCATAAACAAGATTTAAGTGCTGGAAAAAATACTACACACTTATATATACAATACAAATCAAGAAAATGAAGAAATGAACATAAATAGGTAAGAAATTCTCAACCAAAAGCTTCAAATCTTCAAGACCCAAGTGTGTGTGCAAGAACCCTAGCTCCAAAATTTGTGTTCTCTAGTCCAAATACTGAAAAATAAGCCAAAGATCCCTTACAAATGAGCTAGATCGTGTATTAAATGGTTTGGGGGTCAAAAATGTGAAATTCCATAACTGTCCAGTTTTTCTGCCAATTTCTTCTTCGCGTATGCGATTACACTTTCGCATTCGCGAAGGGTTGGCTTCATGTTGCTTCGCGTTCGTGATCTCTCCTTCGCGTTGGCTTCTTGTTGCTTCGCGTTTGCATTACACTTTCACGTTCGTGAAGGGTAATTCACTAGGCAGACTTCCATTGTCCATTTTACCTCCTTTTTGACTCGTTCACTTGGTTTCTTCACCATCACTTCTCAATCACATACAATATGTAAAATAGAAGTAAATGACATTAAACACACGATTTTATTAACCAAACATAGCAAAAATATAAGTTTAAAGATGAGATAAGTTGGTAAAATACTCACTTATCAGATACCACCACAATTTTGGATTCAACCAACCCGCTATACATGCACCCATCGGAAAGTGCTAGGACTATGCTGGTTCCGATAGAATTTGACGGCACCGGCTATAGATCCTGGAGGAGAGGCATTCTTAGAGCTCTCTCTGTGAAAAACAAAGTCGGATTCATCATAAGAAAGTGTAAGAAACCTAATGTTGGAGAAGCGACCTGCGATCAATAGGCACAATGCGATGATATGGTGACGTCGTAGATTCCGAACTCAATCTCAAAGGATTTGGCTAATGGGCTACAATACGTGAATGATGCAAATGATCTATGGCAAGAGCTTGAGGACAGGTACGATCAAACTAATAGGGCAAAACTTTACCAATTGCAAAAGGAAATCAACGACCTAAATCAAGGAACCCTAGATATAACCGGATACTATACAAAAACGAAGAAGCTCTGGGAGGAGCTCAATACCTTGAATGCACATGTCCAATGTGGTTGTCAATGCACATGTGGTGCCAAAGTTAACATGTACAAGGCAGAGCAAGATCGAAGATTAATTCAATTTGTAATGGGACTGATGAAGTCTACACAGTTGTTAGGAGAAGTATTCTAATAATGAATCTCCTGCCTAGTATTGCACAAGCCTTTTCCATCCTTATTCAGGAGAAGAAGGAGAGAGAAATTAGACCATGTAATCGCCTAACCATGGAATCCACTTCCTTAAATGTGAATGGACTAGGAAATAACAAATTCAGAACCAATTACACTCACCACAAGGCAACACTACAGGACAAAACTTGTATAAACCTACTTTTCCCCCTAATAAATCTAAATTGTATTCTGACTACTGCAAAAAGCCGGGGCATACCAGGGAGAAGTGCTATAGGCTACATGGATTTTCACAAGACTTCAAGTTTACAAATGGTAGAAACATAGGAATTGCTGCAAATGTTCATGGCCAGTGTGAAGAGATGCAAGCTTACAACAATGAAGATGCTGATAGCAGGAACCACAACCAAAACCTTCAGAACCTGACGAAGGAACAATACAACCAGTTGCTGAATTTGTTGGAGAACTTTAAGGTCAATAGTGTAGGGGAAAATTTAAACATCATCACCAGTGGAGCTATGAACTTTGCAGGTATTCTATCTTGTTGTACTTATAAAGAGATAGCTGAAACAACCACATATAATTGTTCAAATTCAATTGCTGACCTATGGATTTTAGACAGTGGAGCTTCAGACCATATGACATATAGAAAGTCCTTTCTCACTAACATTAGAACCCTAACTTATCCCTTCCTTGTCACCATACCTAATAGATATAAGGTGAAAGTGACAGAAATTGGTGATGTGTTCCTTAGTCCTAAACTAACTCTAGCTAGAGTCCTGTATGTACCTAATTTCAAATACAATCTTATTTCAATCCATTCATTAATAGTTCATCTTGATTGCATGGTTAATTTTAACAAATATTTTTGTCTAATGCAGGCCCTTTCAATGAAGAGACCTCTGGAGATTGGTAAGGCAATGAGTGGATTGTATTTTCTTTGTTCAAAGTGTCACAGCTGTTCAGATTTGAGTCCACCTACTATTTCAATTTCTAGCTTGCCTCATTCCTGTTTTTCCATTCCTGATAACAATGTTAGCAAGAAAAAGGATCAAGCTCATCCATTTCATTCATTGTCAACTGTAAATGAGCCATCTCATCCATTAAGCAATGTAAATAGTATCCATTCATGCAATAAAACTGATCCTTTTACTGTGAATTCTCCTCTTGTATGTTCTACATCTTCTGGAAATAATGTTGACTACTTGTGGCACAACAGGCTAGGTCATGTACCCTTTGTAAAAATAAGGAAAATATCTACTATACCAGCCAATTTTGCTTCCAAACAATCCTTCATTTGTTCAATCTACCCTATGGCCAGACAGACAGGGTTATCATTCCCTGGAAGGACCACTTCATCCACCAAAATTTTTGAATTACTCCATGTAAACTTATGGGGGGCCTACCATATATCCACACATGACAATCACAAATATTTTCTCACCCTGGTTGATGATTTTAGTAGGTCAACCTGGACTCACCACTTAAGCTGCAAAAGCAACACATTTCATGCCATTAAAGATTTTCTATCCATGATTGAAAATCAATTCGGTACCTTAGTTAAGACCATTAGATCTGATAATGGTCTAGAATTTGTTAGCAATGAAACTATGACATACTTCCAAGAAAAAGGCATAGTACATCAGAAAACTTTTCCATACACACCACAACAAAATGGTGTGGTGGAAAGAAAACATAAATATCAACTTGAAACAACAAGGGCCCTACTTAACCAGTCCAAACTACCTATAAGATATTGGGGGAAGTACATTCTAACAGTTGTCTGTCTAATAACCAGGCTCTCATCCACTATTCTTAATAACAAAAGTCCTTTTGAACTCCTATACAACGAAAAGCTCATATACTCACAACTAAAAAGTTTTGGATGCCTATGCTACCCTTGTACACTAAAGACTCACAGAGAAACGTTTGAACCAAGAGCACACCCCATGTGTTTGTAGGTTATCCTTTTGGTACAAAGGGCTACAAGGTAAACTTGGCCATAAAGAGAATACATATAACTAGAGATGTAATGTTCCATGAAAACATTTTTCCTTTTGCAGTTTCACCTGAACATTCCAGCTTTCCTTCTGTATTGCATCTGATGAATTCTAATTCATCTTGTTCCCATCCTACCTCCGGGACTTCAAATGATTGTAGCATATATGATAAGGATGCATCAATTTCTATCATTAATAGGCATGTGTCAGATACTGATGCACCTTTTTCTCCACTTAGTCCAATAACACCTAATCAAGATATGCCAAGTCCAATAACACCTAAAATTTAAATTTCTCAGTCGATTTAGTCGGTTTTTAAATATTCATTGACACCCCTAGTTATCACACAAAAAAAAATTACTTTTTTGTTGAAGTTGCCATATCAAATTTGCTATGAATAATTATATGTAATTAAAATTAAATTAATTTTATGATTTATACTAAATAAAGGATATACAATTAGTGCACAAAATATAAACTTATTCTTTGAGAAAATTAAATTTTAGCCTATTGTTTTAATACCAATTTCAAATATCTATATTTTGGTTTCTAACAAAAAATATACAATCTTACTCCCCCTTCACTTTTTACTTGTCCATTATTCTAAAAATAGATTTTTACTTTTATTTGTCCATTTTCGCATATCAAGAAAAAAATAATTTATTTTTCATGTTTTGCCCTTAGTATTAATTACTTATTCAAAATTATTTTTTAAATCTATTAAAATTATATACCAATTAATATGAGTATGATGGTAAATTATTACTAATATTTATTATTTTTTAAAGAATGTACAAAGTTAATAGTGGACATGTAAAAAAGAACGGAGTGCTAACTAGTAAATATTACACAGAATGCAATAGGACAATAAAACGGAGGGAACTGCAGGTTTATTGGCTCGGTGGAAATTGTACTTTTTGGAATCTTACTTCTCCTCGAGAAGCACAATTTGTCCAAATTCATACCAAACTCCACCGTCCCTACCTATTTTCCCCTTTACGTCTCAATTTCTTTCCTATAAAACCCTAACATCTCCCCTAATTCTCAATTTCCCAATCAATCAAATTCCCAAATTCTATTTCTCTCATTCATATGGAAGCTCCAATTCTCATTTCTTCAATCCCTAATCTCTTCTCTTTCTTCACTTTTTTTCTCATCATTTACCTCGTTGCTTACTTCATCATCTTCCGTTCATGGAAACCCAAGCTCCGTCCAGAAGCTTCCAGCTGCGCCATCTCCTTACTCCACGGCACCCCCGCCGTATTCTTTGCCGTTACTTCCCTACTCGCCGACCCTGATCGTGACTTTCACTCGCCCAACACCCCTTTACAAAACCTCGTCCTTGACTACAGCATTTCCTATTTCTTAATGGACCTAACCCACTACCTGATTTTTTACCCTAGTGATGTTCTCTTCATCGGCCACCACCTCGCTACCCTGTTCGTTTTCGTCACGTGCCGGTACGTGGTGTACCACGGAGCGTATGCGATTCTCGTGCTTTTGATTCTTGCGGAAGTTACTAGCTTCATACAGAACACGTGGACTCTCGCGAATGCTCGGAAATCGGACGTGGAGTTCGCTGCTAAGGTTTATGCTTTACTTTCGCCTCCGTTTTATGTTCTGTATTCGTTGGTCAGAGGTATTGCTGGGCCGTATTTTGTGTATAGGATGTTTACGTATTATTTTAGTGGGGCTGCTAATAATGTGATACCTAGATGGATTTGGATATCTTGGGTTTTTGTTGTTGTTACTGCTATTTCCGTTAGTATACTGTGGATTTCCAATCTTTGGGTTGAGTTGTATAGAGAAAGGAGTAGGGAACTTGAGAGAAAAGTTAGGTGAGTTGAATATTACTGTGTGTTTACAGATTAAGCATATATGGATTTGATTGATGAGATGATAATTGAAGAAAAATCAAATCTTTTGTTGTTGCACTTGTTGCATTATGCAGTTGTGGTGTATACTGGTGTTGGTGCTGCGGCAGAGCCAGGAATTCTAACTTGGGGATTAAAAAAATGCAAAAATGCAATACCTAAAAAGATTATGTTAAGGGGATTCAACAGTTTATATATACTAGAAAGTTTGCTTTTGCGCTAATTGCACAGTGTAATTTCTGGACGAAAGGATGTTTAATTGAATGAACTTTCTTACCTTTACCTCCACTATTCGGTGTTGGAAGGCATAACTTCAGGATTATGTTTTCTCTATAGCTTTTTACACTCTTAAATTACCTACAAAGAGTAGGTAGAAAACAATTAAGTGATATGCAGAATTAAATTGAAGGTTTTGGTTAACTTTGAGATTGATGGCAGAATCCTTTGAATTGTTCTTTTGATGCACCAGCCTATATTCTTTATATTACAAGTTTGGATTTCATTTGCTGTTGGTGATAGTTTTCTGGTTAGGTCACCTTCAAGAGAATATGGTTAATTAGCATTGTCTCAACAAGATTTGTAATAATGTCCATTATTTAATTCATAGATTCTTTCGTGTTGGGTATGCCTAATTTGATAGTTTTGCATTATTGATTTGGTGGAATGAAGTGGCTGTTTAAAATTTTAGGTGCTATGCATTCATTTTATTATTCATCAAGGTTTGAGCCTCCCCTGTTAGGAAGCCTTGGTCAATCCTATATATGAGGTGAATTATGTTCTTAAACGACTGGCCTGTGATGTGTAATTTAAATAGACTTGGCTGTTTTCTCTTTTAACTGGTGGAGATTGCAGATTACATCTAGTTTTTTTTATCTCTAACTGGTGGAGATAGGTGTTTGACAGTGGAAGTTTAGATGGAGAAGAATGTTCACTCTTCTCACTTCTATTGTTGACCTGGGTGGGGGTGGAGCCAAAGGCGGATCTAGGATTTCTAGTAATGGGCGTACTACTAAAAAAAAAATGGAGGAAAAATGTATTTAGTGGGAATTGATTCCTATTCCTCTTGGTAAATAACTCAACCTTCAACTAGTACACCATTTAGCCTTCTTGGAGCATGGTGCCAACCGTTAATGTTGAATCAATTTTAGAAATATGTACATTAAATATCTAATTTTACGAAGAGACCATGGTTTCACATGTCCCATAATCTCTCGTATAAATTCGCCCCTGGTGGAGGGTGGAGATATGATGATGCTTCATGAATCTCAAGACTTCTAGGCTTTATCTCTTTAATTGCTCTCCAGATACTTGAGGCTGCATCTGCACTCCTGTCTCTTTATTTGTTGCTCATGGGAGGGAAGGGTCAACAAATTCTTGCAGTATGCTTTTAGAATTAGAGTTGTCTCTATGTCGTCTCAAAATCCTACAGAAGTTTGTGTACTAATTTGACAAGAAAAATCTTATGAGATGTGCTACTGATTTCTTCACGAGTACATGAAAGTGAGTAGCTACGCCGTAGAAGGTCAAAGATATTAATTTGTTGTAATGGCAATCTAATTTCAGTTTGGCGTTTCTTGGCACATTACTAGGACCACTTATTCTCACGAAGGAGAATTTTACACGGATTTAACATGAGTACTCAGTTGGTCTTTGGATAATATTTGATTGAAGTTTGAAAAAAGATTATTTGGAACTGAAACTTTATATTGAAGTTCATTTGCAAATACGGGTGACAAGTCACTATTTGCAATTACCGAGTTCAATATTCGAAATATTGAAATATTAAAACAATATTGGTGATTCAAAGATGCATAATTGCTCTGCTTCCTGCCAATGTTACAAAACGCATGTACCACATGGCTGTAAATCTTAGGCATAGACTATTTAACCTTTTTCTTTTTTGGGCAAATGGTAAGAGATTTTTGAGTTTTAACTTGGGAAATTTACGCAAAGTCCCATGCATTTAAAAAATATTACCCGAAAGAATACCTATTTCAAAAGTATTACTATAATGTATACTTAGTGAAAAATATTTATAAAATAGCCAGCAAATAGGTACGTTGTATATCGTCATAGTACAAAATTCACATTTTGCTTACCTTAAATAGATACAACAATGTGATTATGACTGTCATATACAATGAATGTACAATAATATGAAATATATATTGTATAAATTTTTAATGGACGAAACCGCTAAATGAGTTCAAGTGGATAATTCTTTTACTCCTTCTGAGTAGTTGTGAATTTTTCCCTTTTAACGTTCAGCGAACAAACAAGACGTGACAAAATTAAAATAATTTCCCAAAGGCCAAAGGGGCATTTGCATCTATACTCGCTTTTTGTGTCACGTTTTAACTTGTGTCTGCTTTGCAAAAAAAATTGCAAGCGTACCTGCTTTTTCGCATAACTTCAGCATACAGGGCTGAAGTAGCAAAGACAATCACGCAAAACTTCAGCATTTCTAGTAGACGAGCCTGAAGTTCAGCTCTAGAGCTGAAGTTTTTGTTTTGTAACTGGCGAACTTCAGCTCTAGAGTTGAAGTTTTGTTTTTGTAACTGGCGAACTTCAGCTCTAGAGCTGAAGTTTTTGTTTGTAACTAGCGAACTAGAGCTGAAGTTCAGCTGAAGTTTTTGTTTTTGTAACTGGCGAACTTCAGCTCTAGAGCTGAAGTTTTTGTTTGTAACTAGCGAACTTCAACTCTAGAGCTGAAGTTTTTGATTGCTGTTAACTTGCTTAGTTGCACCATGCTGATTGTTACGTACGAAGGCGGGCACAATCATTCCTTTTCAGTTGCAGAAACAAGTAGTCTAATTTTAGAGTCTTCTTAGTTAGAACAAATTGTAGTGATATTAAAATTAGGTTTATTTGCCCTGCAAAGAAGAAGGGTTTCCGATCAATGTAAACTGGAGTAATATGTTGGCTGGAGCAATTCTTCTTACTCCAGTGACTAACTACTGGTGGAAAAGTTTTTCTGTAAATTTGATAAAACAAGCATACTATGAGCAGCTTGTACAATCATAATTATAGCGATTCTGTTGAGGATGAGTTCTTCTTCTTTAAGCCATTGCTTGAGAATGGTGGTAGTATTAGAGAATTAATCATAGTGTCTTTCAGTTGTTAATAGAAGAAGAAGAAAACGAAGGAGGAGAAGGAGGAGGAAAAAGAGGCTGAAGTTATTTTAAAACTGGGTACAGGTTAAAACTTTTTTAAAAAAATGGGTATAGGTTAAATGGGGGCGACCAAATAGGGCGCCCCACGCAATTTTTACAAGGCCAAAGCTGCCTTTTTAAGAGTCCGGAACCAATATGTGGTTCTTTTGGACTCAAAGAACAAAAATATGTGGGAAAAAAATTAAGTGATATATATATATAGCGTTTTTTTGAAAGACGCAATACTTTAACAGCCATTTGGCTAGTTAAAAAAAAGGCGTTGTATTTGAATTAATTTAAGCGAGAAAATATACGTCTTTTGTTAAGATGCTATATATAGCGTCTTTAAGACGCTATATATATAATAAAGAACGGTCTTCATCTTCCCCAAAACATAACAGACATCGAACCCCCC